TATATATATGTTAAAGCTAAATTTACAATTTTACAATCTCGNACTACCCTTTCCCCAGATTTCTGACTATGTACTTCCGGGACCTCAAAGTTGAAAGGAGGCCATTCGACATAACGGTCAAAGCAAAGGCCCCATTCTCTTGGTACAGCATGCAAGGAGATGACAACCCGAAGAGCAACAATTTCAAGGGTACAGCTACTACTCCAACTGGCCAGTCTGAAGAGCCAGTTGTGGTAGTGGCTCCTGCTGAGCCTGCCTCCACCTCCACTGATATCCCTCCTGGCCCATCCACCTCAGCAGCTCCAGAGATCCCTCCTCCCGAGCATACCCAATGACTGCCCACCGACTGAGCCAGGCTCTTCTCAATATCAACAACTGGATGCAGACAGCGTCATCCAAGTTGTCTATCTTGACTACCACAGTAGAGGCTCAGTCGGCTCCTGCAACTCCACAGGTTCCACAGTCCATAGCGGATGCTCTTAAAGAGATTCTAGTCAACCAACAGAAAATCCTCGACACTCAGAAGGTGCTCATAGAGGTAGTTGATTCACACAGCAAGGCTCTCAAGGAGCTTGCTAGGGAACACAAGAAGCTGAGGAAGACACGGGCCTCCAAAGAGTCCGTGAAGGAGTTGAAAGCTGATGTTGACAGACTGAAGGCAGATCAGCTGCCTTTAGATTTACTGCTCGAGGACCCAGTACCAGCAGCTCATTCCCAGCCAGAGCAATCACAGAGGCCTCCCAAGAGGAAGAGGATGATTCCCAGAACGGATGATGTAGTCATCCAGTTGGCCGACCAACCGGAGGCTTCCTCCAGCCAGCCATAGGATGCACCTCAGGAGCCTGTCCAGGTCCAGGCCCAGGTCCCAGCAGCAGAGCAGCAGGCCACAGGGAACCAGTTTGAGGTTCCCGAGCACAGTGAGGACCCAGGGACCACTCAGGAGCCCATGCAGAAAGACAGGCCATAGGGAGTCTCTATATCCTTTTCCATTATCTTTTTGGTGCTTATTTTGTTTAGTTGGCATTGGGGACAATGCCAGCTTTCATTGAGGGGGTAGCCCTACATTTGGATTCATTCGGATGATTGTATATATTTGATACTTTTTATGCTTTCTTTATTTTTCATCTTTGGTTTGTATATATTTTTAACATTTTGCTACATTTCTCGCACTTTTAGTTTACTTTGGGTCTGTCTATAAAGTTATGTTACAATGTATATATTCATCCCATCTATTGTATATTCGACAAATCCCCTCTTGTATATATTCATTTTACTTTCCGCAATTTTTCATTCTTAGCTTCTTATTTATGTTCTTAGCTTCTTGTTTTGAACGTTTGCAATAAGCCTTTGGTTTTCTTAATGCCACGGTTCTTTCCAAAGGTGGAGTTTGTGTGAACCGGGTGGCTCTTCCCAATGATAGATGGCGTGACAACCTTCTTAAGGGTTTGAGTCTGTTTTTTCTTTTTTTTTGGCTTTTTTTTAGTGATTAGTGGTTAAGGGTGCCTCAAGCAAAGCTTCACTTGGGCCTAGCACATTTTCCATTGATCTCATGGTCAAAAACAAATTATTGTGTTTAGGATGGTGAAAGTCGTGACCTTGAGACTCTTGTGTTGACCGATAATCACCAAGTGATTTTTCGGGACCATTGTGTTCTCAAATCTTATCTAAGGTTGTTGTGGGCCCCCAATTCTATGTCTTTAGTGATCCCATAGCGTGTATGGTGAGAAATTGCATTGCAAGTCCAAGTCCCGAGCCATTGGTCTAGAACTTGCCCTGAATGTTTGATGAGGCGAAATCCTAAGTGAGTTTTGACTTAAGATATGACTATAGGCTCTCCTTGGTCCAAATGATAGCTTGAACACATCCATAGCCTACCAAAGATAAAAATCCCTAGTCAACCCTTTTGAGCCTTAGACCTTTTTCTTTCAAAAATCATGATACAAGCCTTTACCCGTTCTAAAAGATACCCTCTCTTGGCACCCGATCTTTTCTTAGCACATGGCAAAAGTATAAGTTTGGGGGGAGAGACGAGGATTGCAGCAAAGTGGTAAAAAGGTGCAAAATGAAGAAAAAGAAAGGCAATGAAAAAGGAAGAAAAGCAAAAAGACAAAAAGAATACTCAATATGGAAATGAATAAAATGGGATTCGTGAAAAGCAAAGAATGAAAGGTGTGGAAAATTGAAAGAGGAAAAAAGGTTTGAAATGTATAAGAAAGAGTGACAGTTTGTCTCTCTAACCCCTTAGAAAGAAGTGAAATGACTCAAAGAGTCAAGTAAAAGTGTGCCAAATGAAACAAAAGAAGTGTTTAAGGGAAGATGGAACCTACTTAGACCAAACATTTCCTACCCTTAACCAAAAGCCTTCACAATGTCTCCATAAAAGCCCTATATGATCTTGAGTTGAATGGAGCTTACATTAGTGGATACTCACATAAGGGGCAAGAATATGGTACTTAGTGCCGGACTTGTGACTTTTCTTTGAGAGGGATGAGTGAATTTCCATTAACCTCGTTATGAGTGTCACTACTCTAAAGGTGAGGTTTGCTTAGGGAGAGCTGAGGATGTGTGAGTTTGGGTTCCACAATGACTAAAGTAATAGAAAGAGTCCTTTGATGTGTTGAGTCAACTCTTGATGCTCTTGTGTCACACTTGATCCATGGTGTTTTAAAAGAGTAAATGTTGTTAATGATTCATGTGTATTGAGGGCAATTGTTAGTCCCAGTTGAGGCTAGTTGAGGTTACTTTAGGACAGCTGAATTTTCTTGGATTTTTCCTTAAGGGGTGGGTCTTATTTTGTTTGCTTGAGGACAAGCAAAAGCTTAAGTTTGGGGGACTTGATAACTAGTGATTTTGATACATTTTGTACTCCTTCTTGCTTATGTTTTGATTAGAAATTTGTACAAAATAGTCCCAAAAGGCTCACAAGTTGTGCTTGATTGCAGGTTTGATCAATAAGGTGACAAGATGTCAAAGACCAGCTCAAAAGGAGTGAAACTTGCACAAGTACCAAGACAAGACAAAGCTCAGGCAAAACAAGGCCAGTGCGGCTGCACTACATTCTGTGTGGTCCGCACTGTGAGGTTCAGAGAGCATGACATTCAGGCACAAAGGCAATGCGGCCGCACTAGGAGTTGTGCGGTCCGCACTGAGATCAACGCGGCCGCACTCGATTTCGTGCGGTCCGTAGTGAGAAGAATCAGAGAGCTGCAAATTCCAAGTGTCAAGCCAATGCGGTCCGCGCTCCATTTTATGCGGACCGCACTAGAAGCCTCCGCGGCCGCAGTCCATTCTCTCCGGTCTGCAGTGCCCGAGTTCAGAGAGTTAGATCTTCAAGTTCAGAGCCCTAGTGCGACCGCACACCATTTTGTGCGGTTCACACTAGCCCCGCAGGGGTATTTTTGTCTAGAATTGTCAGCTTAGTATAAATAGCTTCTTTTCCATTTTTAGGTCAACCAGATAGATTTGGCTGGTAGCTGCGCTCACGACTTCGGTTTTCTTAGCTATTTTGGGCAATTTTATCTTCATTTCAACATTGAATCTTCTAGTTTATCTTAGACATTAATTAATATGAGTTGTTTTTCATCTATTTCTTTGTTTATCTCTCTAAATATGAGTAGCTAGACCCATCAGTTAGGGTTGTGGCTCAACCCTAGTGTGGATAATTGATGGGTCTTGTATTTTTGAGCTTGATTGACTATGGGTGTTTGATATTTGGGCTAATTCCATGTTTAATTGCTAAATTAGTGGTTGCAAACACTAGTTTGTGTTTAGTTGACTTTTGCTCTTCTTGAGAAAGAGAGCCTAAGTCTCTAGAATTAGTCCAACAAGGAATTGGGGCGTACTCAAGAGAATTGATAGCCCAAATAGAGGGTTAAACCGAGAGATCGTAATACCCGACTTGATCCTCAATTGCTTGTGCAAATTCGCATACCCAATTGGTCTTGAGAAAGCCAATTCGGGCAAAATCACTCAAACTACCGAGAGGTATAGAGTGAGTAGAATCGAGCAATGGGTATATCATACTCCCCAAATGTGTCAATCTAGCTTTAGATTCAAGTTTCCGTTAATTGACCACCTAGGCGAAAGTCATTACCCTAGTTCCCTTTTTATCATAAGAACAACTTGCAACAGATTAATCCTAGCTTATAGTAGTTAATTCGAGCATTGTAGTTTATAGAATTAGAATTATATTTAAAACCCCAAAAATGTGTAGAATTGTAATTTGGAGGAAACACACAATTCCATTCTAGGTAGATAACCAACTCCAATATCTAGCTCTCTGTGGAATTCGATCCCGACCCTAATTCGGGTAAAACTTCGACCTCTCCCGCTACTTAATAGTAATGCAGGGTTGGCCGCAGTCAGTAGCCATAGCCTCCATTTTAATTATTTTTTTTTTTTTTTTGAAGGAGAACGGAAGGGATTTGCTCAAGGGCTTTCAGATACTTATATAGAAGAGGAAGAATGAAACAGGAAAATAATTTGTTCGATGTTAACAAGAAAATTACTTATAAAACCTATACAACATCATGCAAAGAAGCCAAATAAGTTGCCTGGTTTGTGGTGCTCTCCTTTCTCTTTGTTTATTGGAGATTCTTGGATCCCAACTCTTTCTTACGATAAGCTCAAAAATAACTCTGAACTAAGCACGTATTTTACTCCTAAAACAAGTCTGACACATAGGAAAGCTCCATTGGCTTTCTGGATTCTAAAGAGGTTACATCTTTCTTATTCAAGTTGTCTCAAAGTTCTACTTGAATATTCAAGTTTTGGAATATTAACCACAAGTAGGCATTCTGGTTTTGAAAGCGCGAGATTTGGATTTTGGACAACTTTAAGTTTTAAAAAAACTCCTAACTTGTACTCAAAGACTAATTAGATATTGAGAATCTGTGTCAACTAGTTTGGAATTAATTTATGAAATTTAACAAAATTTATGAATGAATAAAAGTAGTGGTACTTATGTAGTACAGAAATTAAAAGTTCCTACAAAAGCTCGCTAGGTAAATAAGAGTGATTATAATTCTCAACTGTGAGAATATAACATAAAATTCTTACTCTGCACTATACAGTGGAACTCAGGAAATATAAACAACAAAATAACAGCTGCTATTATCTAAAAACTACCCCTCATGTTTGTTTGAGGATACAGATCAAGACCCTATTCCGTTGGTTCAGATTTTCCAGTTAAAAATTTCATGAGATACCAAAATTATTAGTGTTATTGCCAATTGTAACCTGCTCATCTCAGGCTTCCAGCCATTACAGTACGAAACGCAGAGCCAAGGCTAGACCTCCGGCGACTGGTGGAACTACTATCATCTCTACTTGGAGATACATCCTTTCTTCTCCTTTTCTTGTTAGCAGAACTTTCACCGTGTGACCCGCCCATTGCAGCTAGTAATTGCTGGGCTCTAGACCCATGCATGCTTTTCTTTATCAGGGTACACGCCTGCTTTTTTTCCATATTCTGCTCTAGCTCCTTCTGCAGTTGCTTTTTGCAGGAAACCCGGTCTGCTGTTCTTAGATGAGGACGGGGAATATGGTAATCATTTTCTGCAAATGAAAACCAATGATCTCGCACCAGCTTCTCTATATTCACTGTAGGCAACGAGTGGATAATAAAATAGAAGTGCAAGATGAGTTTACCTGGGGGATCTTCTCCATATATCTCTGGGCTCGGAGATCTAGACGGCGTTTTGGGTGTGATATATATAGTTCTGCTGGGTGCACCGGGGTCCAGAGTACTGCGGTTTTCTTTGAGTATTGAAGGAAAAGACACTTTATCCACTTCAGGTGACTTGGGATGCAAAATGTTACTTGCACCATGTGGTCCAGGAGCAGACCTCGTCTGCACATTTTCCTTTCCGTCACTATCCTGAACCTTGTTGAGAGGATTGGGAGACGACTCATTTGCAGTATCATTGGAGCCTTTGACACATAAAGCCCCGGGATTTGGCGGACGCGGAGAAGTAACACAGACAACATCTGTATTATCTAAAACTGACTTGGGAGATGTGTTCAGTATGGACGGATCTATAAAGGGCTTTTGCACTTCAATAAAATCTGAAAACCAGGGAGTGCCCCTCTTTGCATAAAACAGAACATATGCTTCCTGCGACAAAACAAAATCTTCTCCAACCTGAATAACCTATAAGTTTAAACAAATATCAAGTTAGTTCATCATAAACGCTTGTGCTGCCCTTTATGCCAGGAGAATTGCTAGGGTACTCTAACAAAAATAAGCAATGATGAAACGATATTGAATGCAGCACTAAAACAAAATGGTTTCCAAGTTAGAGGCCCCAGAATATTGAGAAACAGATTAATCCTACAGTAAAACCATTAAGGGGTCGTTTGGTTGGAAAGAAGTTATCTAGGATTAAATATATCGGGATTAATTATCCCCGGATTAGTTATTCCACCTTTCCATGGGGATGAAAAAAAAACTACAATCCCTGGATAACTAATCCTGGGATTAATTATACCGTAATTTTCTCCCAACCAAACATGGGATAAACTCTTAATTAAATTTAGTCCGTGGATTAATTATTCTTTATCCCTCGTACCAAACGAGCCCTAAAAGAAAGTAGGAAGCTTGATTTACAGTATTACATACCTTTGAGTCGTCAAATTTGTACCATTCATTTGGAGCAGAGCGAATAAAGCTGTAATAGTGCCCAGAAGAGTATGAAAATCCGACATGCCTTATAACTGCATAAAGATCGTACTTCATTTCTTCCTGTGCACAGAAAGGAAAATTAAAAATCATATACAGTTCCAGTTAATAAAGATTAAGCAAAAAGAAAGAAAGATCTTAAATTAGAAATATTATAGTGAAATTGTACACAACATTTTACCTGCTTAGACTCCATATCCTATCAAACATAAACAAAGGAGGAAAATTTAAAATCATTTTTGATAAAATACTTCTCCCAAGCTATCAGCTACAAGCCTTCCAAAATTCCTTTGTAAATATATATATATATATATTGCAAGAATCCCAGAAATTTCAGCTACTAAACTTAAGTATGCAGGAAAAGTTTACCTCTAAAACTTTTTTTTTCTCTGGAACTATAAAACTAGTATATATTTAAGCACTAGTAATTACTCTTCACCAGCTTCTTGACCAGAAAAAAAAATTCACTTTATTTCATCTCTTCCGACTCCTAAAACAAAAAGAATCCCTGCAACACTAATTCCTAGCATAGACAGGAACTCACATTATCACTTTGGTTGTTATCAGCATAAGCATGCAAGTCCAGTTCCAGTGGAAATGAAACATATTTGTCAATCTTCTCAACAAGAGAACCATCAGTTTTGAATCTCTTCAAATGAAGGGCAGCAACAGAAGGGGCCTTATCCAGCACAAGCTGCTTCTCAATGGAGACTTGCTCCTTACATTTTTCACATGTAAATTTTATTTCTGAATCCTCGATCTTCTCAACCTTTGTGAAAGACTCCAGAGCTGTGGCTAGGCTGTCAACATCCTCAATCTCCAAACTCAGATCAATTAGAGTCTCGTAAGTGTCAGAAGAATGGCCACAATTACAACACCGCAGCTGCAATTTCGAAAAAAAGGCATGCGCAGAATGTCAGTGCTACAATTGCATTTAAGAATGAAGAGCAGAACATATATGTGAATGCAGTTTTACAACAAAAGGCACAAAGAATTGATAGATCATTTGTTCTTACTTTGCTAACTAAACGACCTCCAAAAGCCTGCTTCACAAAGTTCTCAGTCTCCAAAGTTGGGCTGCCTTTTGGTCTCGAAACATCACAACATTGTTCAAGTTTATCCAGAAAACATTGCAGAAATTCGTGAGCATCTTCTTGTTGGAACCGATGGAAAGTGGAAGAAAAATCTAATTTTTTCACAAAGTTAAGGATGGCAGTGAAACAAAAGCTACAGATTCGCAAACAAAGCAATGAATTTATACAACCTTCATACCTAGCTGGCCTGTCTGATTTGACTCTTCAAAATCTCTATAATCATTTAGAAAGGTAATTTATTAGAGAATTGACTAACAATCAATTCTTTTGTATGTAACTAAACATTGACTATGATAAAGGGAGCTAATTTAATAAAAGTAACTGATTAGGTCAGCTAACATAATCCAAACCAAACATGCCCTAAACGAGATCTAGGTTTTTCTTTTCCTGCATAATCAAAGGGAATGAAGAAATGTGAATGTACCAATAGTGTGTACCATACCAAAATCAGTCATCTTTCTTATATTTCATTAAGAAATAAGGGTAATGAATACATAAGCAGAAAAGATAAACACACATATATATGTGTATGAAATGTGAATATTATCCCAAAAATCACAAACAAGTAATTTAAAAGGATACAGCTTAAATTGTTAACAAATTTCCAGGGAGAGACAACACCAGTCTCAGAAACCAGTAAAGCATCAATAAGCTCTTTCAACGCACAAATTACACAGAAACCTTTCTGGTAACCTGCAATTGTTACATAGACAACAAAACAATAAGTAACCTCACAAACAGAGAGAGAAAGAGGAAATCTCTCCACTAGACAAGATTAAATAAACCACATACACTAACATAACTCATAGGGTTGAATAATTGGCAATGCAGAGTTCAGTATTCCCTTTGTTCCAAAAAATAATTAAAGAGTTTCGATCTTAATTTAAACATAAGTTCCTTTAATTTTTTTCCAAAAAATAAAAATAATTACTCGTTCAGAAACTATATAAGAAGTATTAAAAAAATTATGAAAAAATGGCTACTTGACTCTCTAAATAGTACTTAATAGAGACATATAAAATGGAACAAAGGGATTAATTGTTATTTCTTACTATCACAGGGTGTGGCATGATCGTTCAACTTAAGGCCCTGAATCAGAGGCACTGTGTGCATGAATGATTGCAATACCGAGTTTAGAAAGCACGTGTTGCCTAAATTAGCAAGCCCTGCACCCTGTTAATAATCCCAAAAAAAAAAAAAAAATCAACACAAAACAAAAGTGCCCAAGAAAAAAAGAGAAATTGGAGCTATTGGCGAAGCATAAAGATTAATACCAGCATAAACGACTTAGCATCGTCATCTCTATGACAATTCCACAGAGACCCAACTGATACCAATTTCGTAGTTTCAACTTTATTAGGCCCGTCGGGCCAACCAGAAGCCGATGGCTCGTCGTCGTCGGGCTGAGCAGTAGAAGTCAATTGTGAGCCCAAAGGCTTGGAATTGGTGATTGGACCCCAAGGCTGAGACCAATGGCTGGTGTACGAAGAATATGGAGTGTACCTCCGAACAGGTGATGAATCCAATTCTTCTTCCCCCATTTGTAATCCTTCAAATTTGTTCGAATTAGCTAAGTTTTCAGGAGAATTTGGGAAAGACCGATCTAGTGTTTCGTGAGGATTTACTGAATTAACCAGTTCAGTGTCAGTTTCTAGGATTTCTGAGCAATGAGTTTCCATTGAATGTTGAGAAAAAAGAAGAGAAAGCAGAAATGGGGGTTGTTAGGGTTTTGAAGGAGTGGGAAAATTGGGGAATTAGAATTTTCTTAAGGTTTTGAAGAATGGAGGGAAAGGAAAGGAAGAGGGAAAAGGTTGGATATGAAAATTGGTAAAAATTGCAAAGTGAATATTGAGATGAATGGAGAGTTTTGAAAAGGGGAGGGAAAGTTAAGCCGCCATTTTGGATTTTCAAGGAATACTTCAATTTAGGAAAGAGGATGCAGTGCGAAAGTGTCGAGAGTGAATTTACCATGACCAAACATTAGATATTATTTCTAAAATTACTAGCCACTCTCCGCATCTTTTTAAATAAAATGGAGTGAACTGTCATGGATTTGAACTTTGTACCTCAATTATGTAAAATAAAGTTGCAACCATTAACCATCAAAATTTAGGATCTAATGGTACGGTAAAAATTTACCCACATCGGGTGTATATATTTAATTTAATTAAATTAACTATACTAAGGTTTATTAAGAGTTGTTGTTAATAAATAAAAATTTGAAAGGTATTGAACTAATGTAACAAAGTCTAGGATTATCGTCCTCTTTGGCTTGTTCCTCAAGACAAAAAGAGAGCCAAAGAATTATTAGATGCAGTTATTGAAGAACGTTCATACGGCTTTAAACAAAATAAATACTTCACAGGAAACCGTGTTTACTTGTACAATGATGCATTTGGAAAATTAATATGCAGTTTTATGTAAAAATAAATTAATTAATCTGGGAGTATAATATGGGAGACAAATTTTTCATTTTCTTCTTTATATTCTAACTGTGTTGGAGTTAGTGACAAATTGACAAATTGGACTGCAGATTTAGCTAATTAGTTTGCCTAGTTGGGCCAGGCCCAATATCTGTATTTATTTGATTTGTATATTGAGAAATTTTCATAAAGCACTATCTTTTAGTATTAATTAGCCATCTATAGATACCATTTATTATATTACGGACTATAGATACCTTTTTTGTGGTTATAAGATGTATTTGATGTATTTAAGCTATTGTATTCATGAATACAGTAGCAAAAATAGGCGTGAATCAGGGAAGTCCAGCTAATCAGTTGTTGTATTCGAGTGTATTCGACTGTATTCATGGAGTGAAACATGGGATTACAGCTGGACAGATTATTATATTCGACTATATTCACGGCGTGAAATAGGGGATTACACTATTTTTAAAACGGAAAGTGAATCAATTAACATAATAGACTCCTAATATAACTCAACAAACTCAATTATAACACACAAATTTTGTATTTTCAGTTATAAAAAAGATTCTCAACCGAAAAATACCCCAAAAACATAGCAATCTTCAGAGAAATTATATAATACATCTGAATACATAAATTATATTAATTAAAAAAATATGAATATATTCATGGCATATAGCGAGACAGTGAATACAATGAAATACATAAAATACAGCGGGATACATTGAAATACAATGAAAAAAAAGACAGTGAATACAGTCAAATACATGGAATACAACGAGATACATTGAATTACAATGAAAAAAAGACAAGGAATACAATGAAATACATGAAAATACATTGAAATATATTAACCGAAACCATTGGGAAGATAGTTACGGGTCTTCTTGTCAGACCCGTACTCGATATTGGGCATCAAGACACATCCCTTGAACTTTCTCCTCACTCTAGAATCGATACCTTTGGGTCTGCGCCAGCTTTCCTTGACAGTGATTCTGCGGTCACTTTGGGGTCTAATAAACCTCTTAACCCTCTTCTTCACAACCTTCTTGTTAAGCAGAGGCACTGCCATTGTTGTTCACTTTCCCTTACCTTTGGAACTAGGGTTTCTGCAAAAGCGGCCCGCACCTTGCTCAAAAAAACAACGTCAAAGCCTTCAATGACGAATTGATAAAGAGGAAACTTACTACTTTCATTATTGAATAGCGTATCAAATTAGAGAGAGAAAGAAAATAGTGTAACTATAGCGTATATCTATAGAACATAATTATTTTAAATGGTATTTATTTAAAATAAATAAGGTGTTAACATTTGCTATAAGAGGTCTTGTAGATAGGAAGCCCAACATATAAAAAGGGTCTAAAGGGGAAGGTTCTGGAGATTTTTGGACAGATATTCAATACACAGATATTTTGCTCGTTCTTCTTCTCCATTCTCTCTCTAAAAACCCTAATCATGGTTGGAACAATTTCGAATAATCTCTGACTCTAACATGGTATCAGAGCCATGAGATCGTTGTTCCTTCATCCTCTAAGCTCGGAAGTGTTACCCCTGGAGGTTTTAATTCCCTAGACGTCAGAATTTTTTTCGCTTATTCGTTACCGGTGATGAGGTCGGAATTTTCTTCTGGTTTTTTATTCATTCTGCTAGTTATCTACACGATTGTGTTGAAGCGTAGTCAGTTTCTAGGACTTACATTTTTTCACTGGAGTTTTTGGAGGTTCTCTTTGTAGCTAGGGTTTCTTCAGATTTGAGTAATTTTCAAGGCCTTTTACTTCTTCAGGTCGCGAAGAAGTTTGGTACATTCTTTCCTGTCCTTACACATCTATTAATTTTGTTGTATTAGGTGATTTTCTGCGATTGGAAATTAGTTGTTTGTTTCTGAAAATTTCTCTGAAAATTATGGGTGATTCCAGTTCAAATACCGGTCCTTATGTTCCTGAGCCTACTAGTCCCTTATTTCTCCTTCCTTCCGATGTCCCAGATGTATCTCTTGTCACGGTGCCCTTCTCTGGGACAGGTTTTGGGGGTTGGAAACGTAATATGATAGTCTCTCTGTCTGCTAAAAACAAAATAGGCTTTATAGATGGTTCATGCACTAAACCTGCTGAGACTTCTCCCGAATATTGGCAATGGGATAGGTGCAACAACATGGTTATATCATGGTTAACCAATTCCCTATCCCCGGACATTGCTGAAAGCGTGCAATATTCAGAGACAGCTGAGAGTATTTGGAAACAACTAAATAACAGGTATGGGACTGTTAGTGGAACTAAAGTCTTTGAGATTAAAAGAGAACTTTCCTCCACTTATCAAGGATCCCTAGATGTTGCTTCTTACATTAGTAAACTCAAGAAACTTTGGGATGAACTAGAGATTATGCGCAGTAGTCATGCTAATGTTTGTGCTTGTGCTGCTAAGGAAGGTCTTCAGAAAGAAAAGGAAGAAGATAAAGTTCACCAATTCTAATGGGTCTAAATGAAGTCTATGTAGGAGTTAGAAGCAATATCTTAATGATGCACCCATTGCCTTCTCTTGATAATGTCTATAATATACTCCTACAAGATGAAAAACAAAGACAGGTCCTCCCAAATCCACAAGATTATTCTAAATCAGCCTCCTTCCATGCAAATTCCAGCAAGTATCCTCCTCAATTCTCACCTCACCAACAATATCCACAGAAACTAAAATTTGATCAGTCTAATCAGAGAATCAATTCTGATCACAACAAGGCTTCACTGATTTGCAAGTACTGCAAGAAGCCTGGTCATGCAATTGAAAAACATTAAAGTTGCATGGGTTTCCCCAAAATTTTAAATTCACAAGAGGTAAAAAAGTTTGGTACTGCAACTAATGTTGAGGGGCAGTCTTCTGGGGTTCCTGATCATACTCCTTCACATACTGAGGATTCATTGGCACCTAGTTTAACTAGAGAACAGTATAGTCAATTGATGAGTCTTCTTCAGCAATCTGGTCTCAATGAGTCGTCATCTCAACCTGCCATTATTGGTTCTGCAAACTTTGCTGGTAGTTCTTCTTCTCTGCCTGTATGTTTGAATGGTAATTCTAATGTGCGCATGTTGACTAATGTAGCTGGAAGGATATGGATAGTGGATTCTGGAGCCACTGATCATATGACTTCAAATAAAACTCTTCTTTTCAATATTACTCCTATAGTTGTTCCTTACCTAGTTTCTTTACCTAATGGTTACAAAGTGAAGGTCACCTGTACTAGATCCCTCACTTTGTTACCTTCTCTCACTCTTCATCATGTTTTATACATACCTACCTTTCACCACAATTTGATTTCAGTAAGTAAACTCATTGATCAATTCAAATGCTATGTTTTATTCATATTTCATTCGTGTATACTTCTACAGGCCCATTCTATGAAGCAGCTTCTGAAGCTTGGTAGAATGGACCAAGGACTATACAAATTCTACTTCAACCAATCTACTTCTGCTACTCAATCCATCTCTGATAACTTTCATGACTCTGCACCTATTTCTTATAATGTCATGGACAACATTAGACAGCCTATTCCTGTTTCTGTTGCTTCTGATTCATTTGTTTCTAGTTTTAATTCCATAGCAAATGTAAATGATTTCCCATTGAGTGCAAATATTGATATTCTGGATTTTCTTAATAGTCCTGTTTCATTACCAACTTGTAATAGTCATCAACATATAAATAAAAATGATGTTCTTTGGCATCACAGATTGGGGCATGTTACCTTTGCACAAATGAAAAATATACCCTCTATTTCTTCTAGTTTGTCAGCAAAGCAGTCTTTTTTTTGTCCTGTTTGTCCTTTGGCAAGACAATCTAGATTGTCCTTTCCAAATAGTTCTTCTCATTCTACTGCTCTCTTTCAACTAATACATGTGGATACCTGGGGACCTTACCACACTCAATCCTATTCTGGGGCAAAATATTTCTGACTATAGTTGATGATTATAGCAGGGCAACCTGGACACACCTGATGCACTCCAAAAGCTATGTTTTTACTTTGATTAAGGCATTTATAGCAATGGTCAAAACCCAATTTCAACTTCCCATAAAAGTCATTAGAAGTGACAATGCCTTAGAACTTGGGTCTTCTAATTCAGCCCTTCAATTCTTTTCTGAAACTGGAATAATTCATCAAACTACCTGTCCCCACACCCCACAACAGAATGGGGTGGTGGAGAGAAAGCACAAACATCTCCTTGAAACTTCAAGAGCCTTATTGTTTCAATCCAAGCTACCCACTAAGTTTTGGGGTGACTGTGTCTTAACAGCAACCTACCTTATAAATAGGTTTCCCTCCTCAGCTTTGTTCAACAAGACACCATTTGAAGTTCTATATGGCAGCCCATCTTCATACTCTCACTTGAAACCTTTTGGTTGTTTATGCTATGTTACTGTACCCAAATGCCATAGGGACAAATTTCAACCAAGAGCTTCCCCTTGTGTTTTCATTGGGTATCCTTATGTTAAAAAATGTTACAAGCTCTACAATTTGCATACTAAGTCAGTTTTGTTCTCTAGAGATGTTATTTTTCATGAATCTGTGTTTCCTTATCAATTGGTGTCCTCTACCACATCTTCCTCTACTCCTCCTCCTTCTATTCCTATGTTTTCTTCTGATATTCCATCTGACTTCTCCTCTTCTTCTCCTACTGCCTCATCTCCTCCTAATGTCATTATTCCAGGTGGTTCACCTCTACCTGCTCCTTCTACAACTGATCCTGTTCAGCCAGTTCCCCCGTAACCTGCTCAACCAGCTCCTCTAATTCCTCTTGCTCCTGCACTTATAAAGAGTTCTAGATCTCACTAAATCCCATCTCACTTGAGAGATTTTTTTGTCAAACTTCCTTCTTCTCTATCTTCTTCCACTCCTTTTTCCTGCTCTGTTGCACAACATGCTCCAGTAGAACCTCATTCCTTCATCAAGGCTGCTGCCAGCCCTGAGTGGCAGGAAGCTATGGCCAAAGAGTTTGAAGCCTTAGAAGCAAATCAAACTTGGCAAATTGTAGAACTCCCTGTTAGAAAGAAGCCCATAGGTTGTAAGTGGGTTTATAAGATCAAATATAAAGCTGATGGTAGTGTGGAAAGATTCAATGCTAGGTTGGTGGTTAGAGGGGACACTCAAGTAGAGGGGATTGATTTTAATGAAACTTTCTCTTCTGTTGTCAAGAATTGTACTGTGAGATGTTTGCAGTTAAAAAATATTGGCCTTTGTTTCAACTAGATGTAAATAATGCCTTTTTTTATGGTGACCTTGATGAGGAGGTCTACATAAAGCTTCCTCCTAGGTTGTCTATTCCTTCGTCTTCCGCTTCTACCCCTTTGGTATGTAACTTCAAAAGTCTCTTTATGGGCTTAGACAAACATCTAGACAGTGGTATGCAAAACTGTCACAAGCTTTTTGCTCTAGAGGTTTCACTCACCCTTTGAATGACTATTCACTGTTTGTTAAGAAGACTGAAACTTCTATTGTTTTCATTGCTGTTTATGTGGATGGCATCATACTTACTGGAGATAATCTATCTGAGATTTCTGCCCTTAAGGCATTCTTGGATGCTCAATTCAAAATTAAAGATTTGGGTCTTCTTAATTACTTCTTGGGTATTGAAGTCTTCTATCACACTTCACGTGTTGTTTTACATCAAAAGAAGTTTGTTAATGATTTGTTTGCTGAATACAATTGTTCTGATGTTTCTAAAGTTGTTTGCCCTTTGGACAGTTCACATAAATTGCATTCTGATATTGGTGATATGTTGCCTCAACCTGACAAATATAGGAGCTTTGTTGGGAAGCTGAATTACTTGACCCATACTAGACCAGACCTTTGTTTCACTGTCCAACATCTAAGCCAATTTCTACAGGCTCCTAAACTCCCTCAAATGACAGTTACTTTGCATGTTTTGAGGTACTTGAAGGGCACCCTTGATCATGGGGGTAATTTTGAACAATTCTTCTGATTTCTCATTGTTAGCTAGTTGTAATAGTGATTGGGCTGCATGTACAGCCTCTAGGAGGTCGGTTACTGGTTTTTGCATCCATTTGGGGGGGGGGGGGGGCAGCCTCATTAGTTGGAAGTCTAAAAAGCAGCCTATTGTTTCGTTATACTCTGCTGAAGCTGAATACAGAGCCATGAGTAAAGTTGTTACAGAGTTGACTTGGGTTGTCCGGTTATTAGCTGATCTAGGTGTTACTTCCACTACTCCAGTTCCTTTGTTGTGTGACAGCCAGGCTGCAATTTACATAGCCAAGAATCCTGTGTTTCATGAGCGTACTAAACATATCGAAGTGGACTGACACTTCATTCGTACTAAGTTAGCTGATGGGCTCATCTCCTTATCTCATGTTCCTACTTCTTCTCAAATGGCTGATATTTTTACTAAGTCTTTGACAGGTTTGCATCATTGCACCTTATCCAGCAAGTTGGGCGTGTATCCACCCTCCAACTTGAGGGGGGTGTTGGAGTTACGTGACAAATTGACAAATTGGATTGCAGATTTAGCTAATTAGTTTGCCTAGTTGGGCCATGCCTAATATCTGTATTTATTTGATTTGATTTTTGTATTACTTGTAGATAGGAAGCCCAACATATAAAAAGGGTCTAAAGGGGAAGGTTCTGGATGTTTTTGGACAAATATTCAATACACAGATTTTTTGCTCGTTCTTCTTCTCTATTCTCTCAAAAACCCTAATCATGGTTGGATCAAATTCGACTAATCTCTGACTCTAACAAACTGAGTACAGTAACACGAAAAAAATACTCTGCCTTTTTTTTTCTTTTTCTTTTTCTTTTCCCTATCAATAATTTCTCTTAAAATGTTTCTTCTTTTTATTGTGTAAACTGTGGAATAATTTTTGAGATAAATGCAGTGCCAATAGGCAGCTAAAAACTTTGATTTTTTTCTATGTATCTGGTTTCCGTAGCTTGTCGATGTTCCCACGTTGAGTTTTTGCCAATATTGTCCATTATCTTTGAAGGTAGGCCTATTTTGGTCCCTCAAATATAATCTTGAGCATAGTTAGTCCCTTAAGTATGCTAAAGTGGAGCACCTTTAGTCTCACTGACACAATGTGTTCAAAATCTAACGGTGTTACCCAACTCTGATTCATGAAGCAAAAAGTTTCCCCCACTTTTATTGGATAACGCAAATTATCACTTTAATTCCTCATTTTAGATAATGTCTTCTAAAATTTTGACCTTGAAAATATCCCCTTCTGTGCCCGTTTTCAATGAGAAAAGGACACTGTATAGCCGCTAAAATATATGAAATTTGTATATATATACATTTTGTATGTTAATATACAAATTTTATATACTTTTTCGGCTACCAGATGTAAATAGTTTCTGGCACGGGCTTAAAGTGATAATACAACCTGGTTATTCGTTTCCTTCAATAATATGCCTAGAAGTGATCCTGGCAGCTCTAATTTTTTAAATTTTAACTTTTCTTTTTGGAAAATTC